CCTACCCGTTTTTCCTCTTTACCCATACTAATGATCAAACTATTCACTAAAAATCATAAATGTCGGAACGATGAACAGAAATAAGTGAAAAGACAAGTCGAGGTTTATAAGAAAGATGACATTGGTACAAGTATAGTCATGTTTATTCTCAGTGACGAATGATGAGGAGAGGAGTACATGGAACGGACAACAACAAAAACAGCACATGCATGACACTAACCACTAAAATACAGTCCGTCGGATGGGACTATAAATGGTGACCCGTGTGAGAACTGTCCAATCACGCACAGAAAAAATCCCTCTAGGTTTTTCCAAAAAAAAGTAGGCGCTTAAACGCCGACACAGAGGATAGTGAAAATTGTATCCAAAATTTTAGGCCGTTAGAACTAGGGTCTCTTTATTAAGACATTTAGATGGACTTCCAAATTTTATACACAAACCAAATTCATAGAATAGGCAGGGGCTGGTGTGGCTGGAGGCGGCTCAGTACCTCACTTCCGGTCCTGACTTGGTGATGCTGTACGATGAGTGTTAGGTTAAGGCATTATTAGGCATAGGAGCTGTCTTACAAAAACTAGACTTATACAGTTAATATATATAGGATAGACGGCCCCTTCTCTAACCTATCCCCCTCCTCAACTCTTTTACTCCATACTTTATCCCTTCTACTCATTTTCCTTTCTGTTCTCCGTCTGCTGGATAACCAAAATACGCGGTAGTGAAGCGGACGTAAAACCTATCAGTCAATCAATCAATCAATCAATCAATCAATCAATCACAGGACATTGGATCTCCTTACCTTATAATTGTGTTGGTTTATACCAATACCTTTATTTCTTTCTACATTGTGTTACTAGCAAAGTAAGCACGTCGGAATTATAAGACCACAATTCCACAAAATATTCTCATAGTCATATTGTAGCATATGCATTTAGAAATGTATTACTATCTAGATCTTTGACGAAAAACCAAACACATTTCTCTAACTTAAAAATTGTATCTGGCTATATTGTTTCTGCCTCCGATACACATCTGTTACATGCTGTGCAGGGTTTTGATATATGTGTGATAAGAGTTAGACTGCAGACTGGTAGACATCCAAGCCCTCTGTAGTTTGATTTAAGATGTTCACATGTCAAATATACATACCTGGTATGTAGTATAAATGAATCCTTTTGGCAATATATTGGCGGCTGTATATATATATGTAATCAGAAAGTTAGAATTAAAGTACAAATGTAAAATGTGTATATATATATAGGGTCCTGTAGTAAATTGATTTAATACAAGTAAAACAGTGAGCATATTAAATTATCATTTCTGTATTGATTATGAACAAGAGACATGATGAGATTTCATTTTGTACGCTTTAACAAATATAGTGAAACCTTGTTTATCTGTATTTCAAAGCTCTGAAACATTTTCCAGATTATACATTTTACGAATGTTTAACTGTAAATAAAAAAAAACAATTTTATTACGGTAATTTGAAAAATATGACAACTTTCTGCAGTAAAACAATCTATGACTGGTATATGTGTACTGTGTACGATTTCTGGGTTGCTCTTCAAACTTCTGAAACATTTTCCAGATTATATATTTTCGGAATTTTAAACTGTAAATAAAAAATTCAGTTTTGTCAATCTGGAAAACTTGTTCATCTTATTCACAACTTTCTAAAATAAAACAAATCTTGGACTAGTACGTAATGTGTATGATATATCTGGGTTCATATCCGACACAGCGTCTCCCCATCTAGCAGCCTTTAACACACCATTGAATGAATTGTGTCATACCACTGCTGGTTTCCCCCTTGCTTTATTCAACACAATGCTTCTGTAGACTGGCCTGTTGCAAATAACATCATTAATCCATGCATGTTTGTCAAATTTCAATTACATTGACTGATCGAGTGGAGGGGATGTAACTCCAGCAGACTTGCACATAATTAACTCATACAATGTTTTTTTTTTTAACACAGACATGATATATGATAAGAAATCTCACCTTATGACATGGTATATGATAATGTTGTCCAAACTATAGGCAGTTACATAATTATATACGTTCATAATTATTATAGTAAATACTCGTTAGTTTTCTACAAATTAGACTTGATTACAACTGACCTCCCTCAGAGCTTCTAGGTATCATCAGGACACACCCTTAAAGTGTTTTACAGAGATAATTATGTAAAAATTGTACTGTAAACATATATATATAATATATTTTATAAGTACATTGTTATTTCCATGTTTTAATTTTGCACATACATAGTACATGTAAGAAAAATAAAGCAAAAATGATATAATGCAATGCTGTTTGACTTTGATTAGGAATCGAGGTTGATGGACGATGAGGTGTGTTATAGATATTTTAGGAGGATAACATTTCTAGTAAAGCTGGTTTCGGCACTAAAGTCTGTTTTTGTTTATCTGATGACTTGTACACACCCTGTGTACAGCAGCACTAGTCACTAATGAGATGATTTAGGGGGTTTATTGACTGAGCCTAACAAGCTGTGTGATTATCTCAGTGTAACACTGATGTGTCTGAGCAGGGCACCAGATTACTGCTGAGGGAAGGCTGGGGTTACATGGTTAATACATGTTAAGAAGTTATGATTACTACAGGGAGTATATGGGGACTGGGGGGGTATAGCTGGAAGGTTACCGCTAAGGGAAGGAGTTATACATGGTTAATGCACTGCACAAGGGGTTGTGGTTACTACACAGGAGTAGAGGAGACTGGAGGGGGAAGGGATAGCAGGGAGATTACTGCTGAGGGAAGGGGTTACATAGTTAATACAAGGGGTTGTGGCCATGGTTACTACAGGGGAGTAGAAGGGCTTGGAGGGGGAAGGGATAGCAGGGAGATTACTGCTGAGGGAAGGGGTTGCATAGTTAATACATGTGTAATAAGCTTTAAGAAAGAGTCAAAGGGGGAGTAGCAAGGAGGCTGAGGGTTATACTTATAGTCTATAGTAATACAGTAAAATCCCACTAACTTGAACTCGGGGGGGGTCCAGATCAATAGTTCGAGGGATGCTTTGAAAGTTGTTTTTATACCCTGCATCTTCTACTTCATCAACATCACCAGTCATGTATATATATATATTGAGGTAAAATCCAAGTAATGTCACATCCTCAAAGAGATAACCTGGGTAAAGAAATATGTTGTATGGTTCATTTTGATCTTAACTCATTCATCCCTGACATTTCATAACGAAATATTCCATCATTTGAATTGGAAGAGTTCAAATGTGTCTCCAGGGGTGAATGAGTTAGATAATATGGTGAAATGTTTTTTTTTTCCCTATCCATCTCATCTTCAAATAAAAAAGTGTATTTCATACGATGTGTAGTTCAATGATGTAACCCTGCAAATTTAAATGTTGGTCTGATATAGATATAGTCACACTATGCAGTGTACATGTACTGTACATGAACATGGCAGTTGAAATTTCACTGTTTGGTCAAACATTTTGCTAAGACATTCATTATTTTGTTTTCATCCAGATCCGACATGGGCCTCCATCAACCGTGGTATATTTATTTGTGATGAGTGCTGCAGTGTTCACAGGTCCCTCGGGCGTCACATATCACAGGTCAAGTCCCTCACCAAGGGGCAATGGAGCACAACCCTCCTGGCTGTAAGTATGACCTTGATATGACCTTCGCATGGTGACCCTGGTTAAGTCTCTCACTAAAGACCAATGGAGCATGAATCTCCTGGTTGTAAAGAATGACTTTGATTTGGGCTGGATATTGATACCGAATATTTATCAAGTGAATTTGAGATAGCAATTCTATATATTGATAGTGAAATTTTCATAATCATTATTCCTTATGCGTAATTTTGACAGCTAGCTGACAAAAATAAGCTCTTCAAATTACACCAATCTCATGTCTGATTCTAGTGTTTTCTTCTGATGCATCCAGAAGTCATAGAAACACTAAAGTGCAAAGTAGCAGCACAGTGTTTTACTGATCAAGCTATGTTGTACCTTAACATCAAGGCAAAGCAGAATATTACCAAGCCTCTTTTGAGTCTAACCTTGATATATGACCTTAGTGTGACCTCTGTGGTCAAATCTATCACCATAGACCAGTGGAGTGAGCACCACGATTCAGGCTTTAAGTAGGACCTTAAAATGACCTTTGCTTGACCTCTGGTCAAGGCTGTCACAAAGGGCCATTTAAATACCAGGCTTTCAGGCTTTATATTTGACCTTGATATGACCTTTTTATGACCCCTTGTAAAACTGTTTTATAGGGTCAAAGGTCAAATAGTTTGATTGCCTGACCTAGCTTATACACTGAAACTAATTTCAAGCCTCTTTATAGCTAATTATGTTTGCAAAAATTGTCCACATCCCGGTGTAATACAGTACACAAAAGGAAAGTAAGAACAGAAAAAGCTTTACTTTCAAGATGTTGTCACTTTTGTTAAACAATATATCAGATTTTCATGTTGTGAAAATAATTTCCTGTCAGTCTGTGTTGATATTCTGATTGATTTTCTTACAATGCGAATCCTAAGAGATAGTGTTACGTAAACAGAGCGTAGGTCTGTGAGTGTGTTGTATAAACTAAATAAAGGTTTGTATGTATCCTCTCCCACAGATGGTGCAGCACCTGGCCAGCCACGGAGCCAACAGTATCTGGGAACATTCATTACTTGATCCCTCACAGAGTAAACATGGAAAGAAAAAACCAACACCTCGCGATCAAGTACAGTGAGTGGAGAGTTCGGCAGTCATTATGAACTTGTTGTTTATTTACTATTTCTATTTTTACTGTGTCTTACATCCTGTTGTCAGCACTTACAAGTAAAGCTATTATGTACCAGTTGGCTAGATCAGCAGTTAAAATTGATTTTATCGAAAAAATGTAATTTTTGTCATGAAGATCATCAAGTCTTTCCATGCAGTGATTTTGCTAGACTGCCAGCCTGCATGTTTGTATAAGGATAATTACAGTTTGAAGAATACATTTGGTATTGCTATGAAGGATTCAATATAAGGTTATATTAGTCAATGCCAATGGTGTATGCTGATCAGAATGTTTAGAATAGTTCACACTTCTTGACTTTTATTACTGAATTTCAACAACATTTATATCAAAATATTTTCTGTCGAACGTTTACTGCAGCATCAATGCTTCCTGTTCGTCATTTTTGAAATTTTATGGATCTGGAATTTACAAAAAACAAAGTTTAATATAGCAATTATAATAATTGATATCTCCCTAACTCGTAGAAATGTACTGTTTTTGTGAGATCTGTCATACTTTTTGTTTTTCTGTCAGTGAAAGTTCCTTGCCATATTTATATTTTATCCTGGATAAAATATTCTAATATCTGTAGATTGATAATGATAGCAGAAATTATCTCAATATATCATTTATGAAATGCACTTTCTGACATTCTATCAATGAAATTGATTATAATAGCAAGTTATTCTGATGTATTGAATGCACTTCATATTTTAGATCTACAGTCCATAAATGATGACAATTGTTCGTTTTTTTCAGTTCACTTGTTAGATGTACTCTGTTTATTGGGTATGGGGTAAAAGCACACTCCACCCCTCAATTTTAAATCATGCTCTGTGACATACGAAATGACCATAACCACATCCCATTTTGATGTTCTTCAAACATGCTCTACATTGGCTAACTTCAAGGTCTTTGTTATAATTTTCAGTCCAATAAAAGCTGAATTCATCCGATCAAAATACCAATTTGTACAGTTCATCAACAAACAGAAAGATGGGGAGGTCAACTCTATCGACGATCTTAGCAAGGTAAATATATCGGAGGATTAGCTACGAGTCAGCCTTGACACCACTTCTAATTATGTATAACTTACAATTTCTTTTGAGAATTTTGAATAAAGTTATACAATTCTTATACAATAACATTCGTGATGGGTGCGCCAAGATCCGTCTAGGATTGCTTGTTCATAATAGTCCTAATTAATAAATTGGAAGGAAGACAACTTTGATACAAATTACAGACTAAGTAGAGCTGTAGATATGCTGAAGTCACTTTTTCCAGCTAATTTCACTAAAGTAACAGACATATAATGGACCAACAGGTTTCCGTTTAATCATACACTACACAGATATTTATTTACTGATGAAAACAGAAAAATAACACTGTGCAAATTCAGAACTGTATCCTGTATTACATTTATAAAGTAATTTTAAATCATTGATGAGGTCACTACTTTAGAACTTCAGCACCTTCAGTAAGGTATGATAAGTACGTTGTATCCTTTTATCTTTTACAGCAACTTCACTCATGTGTACGAACAAACAACCTGGAGACCTGCCTCAGACTTCTGTCAAAAGGAGCCGATCCCAACTACTTCCACCCCGTAAGTGGTTCATTGTCATTGTAACAGGGGTACTTCCACCCCGTAAGTGGTTCATTGGACTTGTGAAGGTGAGGAATCACACAGTGTTGTCAATAAGATTTCAAGTAAAAGTTTATTTCTGGAAAAGTAACAGGTGTGCCCAGTGCCTCAGGCACAAAGTGAAGAGCAAAGCAATGAGTTGGGGGAAATAAAGGTCTGAAACTATTTCTTTTAGGTTACCTGAGACAAAGTCTCAAGTGACCTATTGCGATCGCCTTTTGTCCGTCGTCGTCCGTCGTGCGTCTGTAAACAATTTACATTTTCGACTTCTCCAAAACCCCTGAACCAATTTCAATGAAATTTTGCAGAACCTTCCATAGCCAAAGGTCAACTCAAATTGTGAATTATATGGTCCCCAGCCCCCAGAAGCCAGAGTGGCGGGGCCAAAAAGGGTAAAATTGACTAAAATTTCAAAAATCTTCTTCTCAAGATCCAGATATGGTAGAATCAAATACCCTTCATAGATAGAAGGGTCTTAAGGTGCTTTACTAAAATTGTGAATTTCTTGACCCTGGGGTCTCACGTTTCCCCCTGGGGAGGGGGTAAACTTTACTATAGTTTATATAGGGAAATCACATTTTGGAC